TTTTTTTTAATGAAACGGCTAAAAACGATTTTACTAAATGGATTTCTGCAATTACAATATCACCTTCTCTAACCCAAAACAAAGAAAAAGAAAAAATATATATATTAAATGAAAACGCTTTAGTAAAGCTAAAATAAATTTCTAAATAACACATCTAATCCAAAACAAAGACAAAAGAAAAAAAATATTTTTTACATGAAAACGGCTTTAGTAAAGCCAAAAAAAATTAATGAATTAATATCACCTTCTAACCCAAAACAAAGACAAAACAAAAAACAAAAAATTTACATGAAAACGACTTTAGTAAAGCCAAAAAAAAATTCTTAAATTACACCTTTTAACCAAACCAAAGACAAAAAAAAAAAAAATTAACATGAGAACGGCTTTAGTAAAGCAAAAAAATTTATGAATTATATTATCACCAAAACAATGACAACGGAAAAAAAATTAAAAATAAAATAAATAAAATAAAATTTAAATGAACAGTAAAAGCGTGGTTTCAATCCATACTTCTGTAGTGAACAGTGAAGAGTGATTACAATCATGTTTTCTTAGGGAACAAAATGCGCAAGTGAAAGTTGTTTGAATCACGTTTTCTTTCAAAAACAAAATATGACACATGAGCAAAAATACGTTTTCTTAAAATGACAGTGAAAGCGTGGTTTGAAACCACGTTCTTTAGAAACAAATATGCAAGTGAAACGTGGTTTGGAACCAATTTTCTTCAAAAGAAATTTATGTTAAAAGCGTGGCTTGCAACCACGCTTTATTAATTAAAAGCGTGTTTGTAATAGCGGTTTCACTATTCATCAAATTTTAGGTCCAAACATGAAACGTGATTTATAAATACCTTTAGCTAGTTTGAGAATTCCGTCTAAACTAGTCAGTTAAAATTAAATAGTAAATTGCCTTAATACGGAAAAGCCTCCATTTTTGGGCAAAAGAGGTAATATTTATTCCATTATTTCAGATCTATTTTTGTTTTTTTTGATTGGGTTTTTAGGAGTTGTTTGGGATGTCTAAATAAGTGTACTTTTTATTTTTTAGACTAAAAAATTGAGAAAAAAATATAGATATTTGGTGTTAATTTTTTTAACTTTTTATGAAAAAATGTGTATTTTAAAAAAAGTTGTATAAATTAGTGTGTAGGGAAAAATTAGGATTGAAAGTTGTGCACCCCGTCCATTTTTAACTTTTGGTAAATAGTGATAACTTTTTAATTTTTTTGGAAACTTTTTGGCTTTTTAACTTTTTGAAGAATTGTCAAACTTGGGGTTGTTTAAGATGACCTAAATAAGTACACTTTTATCTTTATAAAAATATATCAAAAAATAAAAAATGATACGATAAAAAAAAATAAAAAGATAAAATAATATGTAATTATTTAGTCATTTGCCATTACTGTAGATTTTCAGATTATCAATCTGAGTTTGGTTTTTATTCTGTGGAGTGCGTTCACACCATCTCTCGCACATTCCGTCGAACACTTGAAAGGCGACTTCCCTCCCCCACAACTCTCTCTCTCTCTGTCGATATATATATATATATATATATATATGAAACTCACTTCTGCCTGACAGCGGTGTGTGTGCAACGTAACTCAAGAGCAACGACTCAAGATCAGCGAGCAATCATCACCGAAGATGAGAACAGTCTCATCCGGCGGTGAGTGCTTCCTCTCTCTCTCTCTCTCTCTCTGAGATTTTAATTGAACAATATAGTTGTTGCACTAATTTTTCTCGTAATGTCTGTGCCCTAATATTTGTTCCCTAATTTCTCAATCATAATTTGTGTTCCCTAGTCTTTAGGTTTGGAAAGCTCTGATTTTTGTTGGGCTATAATTTCTGAAAACATATTATCTGCAGACAGATATCATTGTGCTCTAATTTTGGTGTCCCATAACGCTCAGGGCTGGCCTTGATGTGTATTCATATATATAGATATGTATTTAAAGTAAGGCTTTTTCTTGCTGATGATATAATGATCTTCGTTGTTTTGTGGTTATTCGTAGGTGGAATGAAGAACATTTCTCTGGGTTATATGCAGAAGGAGATGGGTTTTCTCCATCTGCGATTTATTTATTTATTTTAATTGTTGAATGAAAGTGGTCGTCCCGCACTTATATGACGTGGCCAGCCACATCGGCATCTGTGGACGGATCTGCTCTTGCAATGTACTCTATAACTCTACTTGGTCAGAGGTTGTTGGTTCAAAGCATTTTTTGTTCTTCCGGCATTTCACGTTCCTTATGTAGCCGTACCTATTATGGGGACGGTGTTGATGATGGGTTTGGAATCATAGAGGGATCCTTAAATGAACCTTGGAGGAGTTCAGATATGGATTTTACTGATGAAAAACCTGAGTTTGATGAGTCACTTGGCTGTACAAGAGTGGAAAGCAGCCGTAAAAGCCATTCTTGGGGGAATTTCTCTGCAAGACACAGTTTTCTCGCAAATGTGAGAGTTGATGCTGAAAAGGTTCTTGAAATTCTTCAGCAAGATGGTCCTGGGTTTGATGCGAAAGCAGCTTTAGATGATTTGCAAATAAGGGTTTCCGGCCTACTTGTTAGGGAGGTTCTTTTAGGGATTTTGAAAACAATTAATTATGCAAATAAGAACCGTTGTGCAAAACTGGGGTACAAGTTTTTTATGTGGTCTGATCAACAAGAGAATTACAAGCACACTGTAAATTCGTACCATTTGATTATGAAGATTTTTGCGGAAGCTGAGGAATTTAAAGCAATGTGGAGGTTAGTCGATGAGATGATTGAGAATGGTTTCCCAACCACTGCACGTACCTTTAACATATTGTTATGTACTTGTGGAGAGGCGGGCTTAGCCAGGAAAGTTGTAGAGAGGTTCATCAAGTCGAAGACATTTAATTATAGGCCATTCAAGCATTCATTCAATGCAATTCTACATTCCCTTATTGTAGTAAACCAGTACAAGTTGATTGAGTGGGTATATCAACAGATGTTGATTGAAGGTCAGTCCCCTGATATTTTAACTTATAATATACTTATGTGTGCAAAATATAGGCTGGGGAAGCTAGATCAGTTTCATAGATTGTTAGATGAAATGGGTAGAAGTGGTTTTTCACCAGATTTCCATACATTTAACATCCTTCTCCATGTTCTTGGAAAAGGGGACAAACCGCTTGCGGCACTCAATCTTTTGAACCACATGAAGGAAGTAGGTTGCGATCCAAGTGTTCTTCACTTTACAACATTGATAGATGGGCTCAGCCGAGCAGGAAATTTGGATGCCTGCAAGTATTTTTTTGATGAGATGATCAAGCATGGGTGCATGCCTGATGTGGTCTGTTACACCGTTATGATCACAGGGTATATTGTGGCGGGGGAACTTGAGAAGGCTCAAGGGTTTTTTGATGAGATGATCATCAAGAGACAGATGCCAAATGTATTTACCTACAATTCCATGATCCGTGGGCTTTGTATGGCTGGAAAATTTGAGGAGGCATGTTTAATGCTTAAAGAAATGGAATCCAGAGGCTGTAATCCAAATTTTCTTGTGTATAGCACTCTAGTTAGTAATCTGCGTAATGCCGGAAAGCTTTCTGAAGCTCATGAAGTGATAAGACATATGGTAGAAAAGGGGCAGTACATCCATCTCATTTCAAAGTTCAAAGGATACAGGAGATGCTGAATTGATAAGTTATGTATAATGAGGGCGATTCACTTGTAACTTTATGAATACTTGTTGACGAGCTCACTTGACATCTGCTGCCCACTGCTCATTGCAGATCTCATGTAAGTTCCAATTTTACGTCACTCTTTTGATAACCTTTTACTCATTAATATGCTCAATTTATTTTTTATTCCCATACCTTATTATGCCGTGCAGTTGAATAATAAAAATTAGAAAGTCTTTTTTTTTTTACTAGAGTTTCCTTTGACCTTGAGATATTTTGCCTCTTTCAAAGAGAGGTTTTTAGGGATTTGCTTACCTTTCTTACATAAAATCTCTATCGGCATGTCATTTGAACGAATTATTTATTTGTTCTGTTGCTTTTCTTTTTCATTGAGCATTTCCCAAATGCTTTCGGTGTATATCCATATCTTTTGTTTGTATTACTAAGGTTTCGGTGGAGATTAAATGTATCAATCCACTTGACCTAACCTGTTGAGCCTTCAACTTCGGAATTTGTGGCACCGTACTAGAATCATTACCTATGGCACCCTGTGCATTACATTCTATTAGTCTTCTTTACTCTTAAGAGAAACCCCCCACTGAACCATTCTTAAGACCGTTGCATAGGGGGTAATAATTTAAACATCAACAAAGCCACAAATCAGCTCTAAGTACTCCTTTCTATAGCAAGTATGGCATGAGTAGGCTGTAGAAGGCATGATCACTTGCACTACCTATTCAATATATCAAAATGCCGCTCGAAATATGGAATCCTTGAAAGAATGCAATAACACCGCCGTGTGGTTAATATACAGTGGCTTAAACCCAAATGCAATGGTTGTCCATTTGAGATCATGGAAACCAATCCAGGGGTTTTTTGTATTATTTCCTCAACTAACATACAACAACCATACACAGTTGAATCATCAGCAACCTAGATAAAAAGGATAGCATCAGAATGTGCATTTCAGAAAATTTAAAAATAGTTTAAATATAAAATAATGGATATCAGCATTTGTATGATAAAAAGCATGAACTGAGAGTTTAAACAGTTTGTGAACAAAATAGCCATATACATTTCATTTCAAAACAATGACACATCTGAATCTTGATACACCTTAAAGAAGTCAATTTAATAAAAATGAAATTCAATTGCTCTAATTTTATTGAAATGGATTGCCTACCAACACGCATGGCATTATATGATGTAGGTTGATTATATTTGGAACTAACACTTACTTTGAAAGACTTGAGGTGAGTAGTATTTCTTCAAAGTTAATTTGAACTTCTATTTTGAATGCTTAAATCTTGGTTTGATCCAAATTATATTGAAATGTCTCAAACTAATGGATATCCTATGATTACATTGAAGTGAATATATACATTGCATCCTCGATTAGTCTCAGCTATTAGGGGACATAAATATACTAATAGCAGTTGTTTGAGATCTCCAATGCCACCCACGGGTGGGTTTGTCTAACCGGAGTCTACCCGGTTATTCCATTTGTTAGTACGATTCAGGATCGAAGTTAAATCTGCTTATTTTGGTCAAAGTTCTCTGCCCGATGTGAGTGGCAGCTAGAACATAAGAACAGAAATGGGATGGGGAGGATTGAAGCTGCACTACTGTCACCCAATATATAATTTTTATCATATTACTTTTTCTGACAATTTTTCACAACTTAAATACATAATACCTTACATATCCACCTATCTATCTCTAATTGTTAGTTGGTGCCTCTCATTTCCAATTGCAAGGGTTTACGAGTGAGTTCCATCTGCATACAATCTTTATTTCACAAAAAAATGGTGCTTGAGTGTATAAAGATTTGTCGGGTGCCGAATGCGCTTTATCTTTGATCCAATCCACAATAAGAGCAAGGAAAACGAAGTTAAAGAAATGATAATATTTGGAAATCGCCTTGATTTTAAGCTACTAGTGTTATTAGAGTCTCATTTTATGGATTTTAGAGTTTTTAGGTTAGGGGTATTTTGGTAATTTTATATTTGTTGCCATGGGCTGTAGGGGTTGTTGCCCATGGATCGTCTTGTGGGTCAAGTTATTTAATTGGTTATTGTTTATGTTTCTGATTTGGTCTTAGAAGAGTTTTGGAAGTTAAACTAGTAGTTTCTTATTTTGGAGTCCTAGTGAATAAAAGAAGTCTCGAAAGTCTAATAAAGCCATGTAGGTTGCGTTTGGTAGAGTTTTCTAACTATAATTTGAGAGTATGAGTTGTATTTTGAATTTGTGAGTTTTGGAATTATGATTTGAGTATGGAAAATTTGTTTGGTGAAAGAGTTTTGAAGTAAGTGGAAAATTTTTGATGTGACATTTGATATTTGATACAAAAACTTACAACTCATAACCAAACATACAACTCAAAATTCTATTAAAGCACATAAATTTTTTTTAAAAATTCGGAAAATATTTTTTTCAAATATATAAAAATTAACATATCAATTGCCAAAAAAAAAAAAAAAATTGTACTGTTCCGGTCAACCGTCCGGACGACCGGTGGGATGTCTGGTAGGACGGTTAGGCCAAATTTCAAAAAAAAAAAAATTCGAAAATCGCATTTTACAGAGAGTTTTCTGCATAGTTTTGTGTTTGTTGTAGAAAACTAATTCCAAAACTCTATCCAAACATGCTGTTTCAATGTGGGGGTAGAATCAAGATTTGAAAATCCTTTCAAACAGAGCCGTAATGTTTCTAATTTAATAGAGTTAATAACTTAGATAATTTCAAGAGCTTTGAAACTTTCTTATGGATTGTGTGATGCAATCAAACCCTACGTGTGATGCCTAAGGTCTCTTGGTTCTTTTTCTCCTTTCTTTCCCTCTTATATCTTCTGCACTTTTACAGCCTAAACACTGTTAATAGTCCTTGAAACAGTCCCTAAACAGTGCCAAATCTCATTTTTTCATGCTTAAATTGTTACCCCTTTATTGCCCTACACAAACCCATTAAAACCCTATATTCTTATTGCGATTTTGGCTATAAAAACAACTTCAAATCAGGCCCCCAAAACCCACTGTTGCTGCTGTCCTTAATCTCCCTACATCACTCTTTCACTTATATATATGTGTGTGTGTGTATATGTGTAAATGATTAATTGAGATTGGGTATTATATATATATGCATGTGTTTAAATGAGAGCAGGTAATGCGTGGTGGTTTGCGGCGGAAGAAAGTAGAGAGAGTAGAGTGATGCCGGAGGAGTAGGGACAACAACAGTGTGCTTTCGGGTTGATATTAATTGGGTTTTATGGCTGAAATTGCAATATTAGTATAGGGGTTTTAAGGGTTTGTTTAGAGTAGTAAAGGGATAAGAGTTTAAGCATAAAAAGATGAGATTTTGGCATTGTTCAACAGGTTTCCGGGGCCGTGACCAGTACCCGTAAACAGTGTTTTAGCTGTTAAAGTACTGAAATTTAAGAAAAAAAGGAAGAAAGAAAGCAAGAGAAGAAGATAGTTCTAGGGATTACTCCTAGAATCCTTTACGCATCACACCTAGGGGTAGGATTGCATCACACAAACCCAAAGAGGTTTTAAAGCTCTGAAAATTCTCTAAAATATCAATTTTATTAAATTAGAAGTATTGCATAACTTTATATAGACGTTAGAAACTTCCTTTATCAACTAAGATTACAAAGTAGAAAATTTCTAAAATTTAGACTTCCAAAACCTATGAAACATGAGTGCGGGTACAGATATTGATACGGTTACGCCAAAATGGCAAGATGTAAAAGAAATAAGATACGGGTACAAATGGGGTATGTTAATAATTTTTTTAGTTTTTATGATTTATAATTTGAGATTCAATCTACAAATCAAAGTTCAATACCAAAACTAAAAGGAAAAATTACAAAACAAAAAGAGAAATCATAATTCAACAATACCAATACCACAACAAAGTCTATAAGCTATTTTAATGCCATTAAGTAGGAGAAATTACAAGATAAAGTTTCATCTCAAAAGCAAGCTAAGCCAAATTTGAAAACTTGAAATTCAATTTTTTACTTCCATCAACTTCATCATTAAATAATACATTTTTCATCTTTAGCATATCAAGTAAAAGATTTGTAATTTCAAGTAAATCATAATTTGCTAATAAATTAAATATATCTCTATTAATGGCCCATGGTTTGGTATACTCTCGATGTACCCTCCCGTAGTCATGAAATTGTGAGAATATTAGGTTTTATGTATATATAATAGTATATATTTTTATATATTTTAGGGAATGTTAGGAATTGAGAAATTATTATAGTTTCCTTTTCAGTCTTAGGGTTAGGTTGTTATATAAACCGATGTACTCATGTATTAGAAACACAATTGAATATACAAGTTTATTAAGAAACTTACAAAGTACCCAATACCCATGGAGTTTCCAACTGCCAAAGAACGTATAAAAAATACTTGGTACGTATTTTGAGTATCTGGTACACATGCAGCTTATCCGGTATGAGTATGGCTACATTTTCAGAGTATCCGTGCTTCATAGTCCAAAACCTATCTAAGACTAAATAAGAAACATAAACAAAAACTAATTAAATAACTTGACTCACAAGATGACCTATGGACAACCCCTACAGCCATGGCATCGAATGTGAATGAAAATTTCATTGACCTTAAAACTCTAGAAAATATAAAATAACTATAAAATAAGACTCTAATAACACTAGAAATGTAATTATGTATGGTTTGTATCAATTTCTCTTTGAAATCATGCCAATATCTAAATATTATCTCTTCTTTGAATTTTTGTTTTGATTGGCACTAGGATGTCTCACATCAAAGCCAGACAAATCCCTCGGCAAGGAGTTTCCCACAAGTGCATTACGATTAATTTAAGGCTTTTCTCCAGTCCGATGGCCTCAAGGAATTGTTAGCACTTAAGAGGTTTTGATCTCTGAACCTTGGACGGAGCACACCCCCAATCCAAGGCCTTGCCACTCGGCCTTTAAATTTAACTTTCCTTGAACTTTCTATACTCTGCATCAGAAGGAGGGTCTATTTACTGGTAGTGGTGGTCAGTGGTGTATGTGGTAGGTTGCTAGCAGGAAATAGTTAGTCTATATTTTTAGGCTCTCATATTGGGCAAACTAAATCCGATCCACTCTCTCTTCGTTGCTCCCTTTCTCTCTATTTCCTCTACTTCTCTTTTTCTCTTCATCATTGGCCACCCATCATCACCAGTAGCCATCACCCTCACAACCATTGTCTCCCTCAACTCGATCCAACACCCTCGCAACTATACGTGCAACTTCTGAATTGTTTGTGACCATATATGGCCATCACAAATTTGGAGTGAAAAGAGGGGCATAATTGTCCTTTTGTGATCAAACATAGTAAGATCAAAGACCGTCACTTCTTCATAATCGCGTATATAACACACTTCTAAAATAGACAAAAAGCTTAACAGTTGCAGTTTGGCCATTAGTACAAGGGGGTTTAATGTTACAAAATAAACTCTAGGGGACCTCTGTGTTTTTTTATCCAACCTTGGGGAGGTGAAGTGTAATTTACCCTTATTAATAATACTCGTAACTGTTGTTTCTGCAAATTATTTTTTTTCAAAACTAAAATTGATAAAATCATATCTAAGATTGTTGATGCCACTAAAAAATTAAGTGGATTTTATCAATTGAAAAAATATGTTAAAATTTTTTTATTACAACAATTTAATTAGTAATTTTGCATCTCCAAAAGCCAAAAAAAAAAAAAAAAAAAAGAAGAAGAAAAAAAAAGATAAAAATTAATAATATTTGAAAATTAAAAGACCTCAAACTAGAAATTCCCTAGAACCACCGATCAATTTCCACTAAAAGTACAAAATGGAATCCATTTATAAAAGAAGAAAAAAAAAAAAAAAAAAAAAAAACACGTTTCATTGTTTCACCCCATCATCCATCTGTTATGATTCTCAGCAAAAAAAAAAAAAAAAAAAAAAAAGAAGTACAAAATGGAAGCCGATGTTAGAACTTGGAAGGTTGTTTGCTTGAAGCTTTTGGATAAGGGAAAATGGTGTGATTTGTGAATTGAGACAACAGAAACAAGAATAAAGAAATTGGTTATAATCACAAGGAAAAGGAAAATTTACCTTCTCTATTTGTACTAGGGTACTTCGCCCATGAATCATGTATGAGTCAGGCTCATCTTGTGCATGTGTCGAACAATAGTACGTGGATAAATTTATAGAAGTTAGTTAATAGACTCTCCTTGCCTGTGACTGTCTAGGTGGATGTTTTAACATGAACATGTAGAAGTACTTCTAGAAAGGATGCCTGCCCAGCCCATATACCAGGATGCCTTCTCATAAAATTATGTTCTTGAAATATAGTGCTAGATTTTTTTAAGCTTTATTTAGCTTGAGCGTCCAACTTAAATTGTTTCAGTCATAGTGGTGCAGTAAAACCTTGAGGAGTTCTTTTGTTACTAATCTACTAGTAATACTGTCTTTTTTAATATACTTATTATTTGGCTTTCAGGTTACTAATAAGCATACCTGTTCTCCCTCCACCGAATCCAAATAGAAAAAAGAAAGTTTTTATCCCTTTGTTAGCCATCACCTCAGTTGATGAACTATTGAAATGAGGCTCTCCAGTTTCTTCCTTTGAGCTATTGTCCTTTTTATGCTTGCATATTGATTTTGAAGGCTAACATATATTAAGTAAGGAGTCCTGGCTCAAGGAACAAGGAAGAGTATTGGCCACTAGTTGTCATGCAGAAATTGTAACAAGTTTGGGAGTCCTCATAAGCACTTGAGGGGCTTTCTTTTTTTTCTTCTCCAGACCTGCTGACACTATCAAAACTCCAAGATTGGCCCAGTCAACATGAGAGAAATGAGTCCAGCTAATATTTTTTATAATGATCCATTGGTTTTCGGCAATAAATCAAGAACATAAAGAAAGAGGGAGCCATATTGAAGTCCTTTTTTCATTTTTATGGGGACAACTGTGATGGTAGTAATAAAAAGCACCAGGTTGTTACCCCTCGAAGGACCTAATAACTGGTCAGTCAATGGTCCAATATCTATTTTCCCGTCCATATTTTTTTCCAATACTACGTTGCTGACTTACAAAGTGAGTTTGCAATGTGGCAGTTTCCCAATCCTCTTTCCTCCTCCCTCTTAAGTTTGCTTGGCTTCTGGTTGCCAAATAACTGCAATCTTCCCCTTCGACATTTTTATTTTATATTTTTGCTTATGATGGTCTTTTTGTTCTTGTGCAATTTTGTAGACTGTATGTTAGATATTTCTCAATCCAATTTAAATGGCGGGACATGCCAAATTGCAGTCATGGATACAGAGCATTTGTTAGATTCACAATGGTTTAGAGATGGCTGTATACTCATAATGTGGCTGACCATTGTGAAGTACAATGAGGTTCCTTAAGCTTGTGGGTTACACAATTTCTTATTCTGTCGAAGTGTCCAATTTATTTTATTTTTAACAATTCTAAGTAATATTTTGGCTTAATTCCAGTGTTGAATGTGTGGGTGCATGTTTCCCTTGTTCAGTGGAGACCTGAACACAGTATGGACGATACTCATTGCTAACTTTGTAGACTAGTTTTGAGTTGAAAGAAAGAGAGGAAGAAGAAAGGAAAGGAAGAGAGGAAGAAAGGAAAAGAAAGCTCATCAACTTGAAGGATTTTTGAAAGCTATCTTAAGGTAGGAAAACTTGAAGCTCTATCCTCGCTAAAACTTTGAAGTGCATCTGTTACATTCTAATTTTTATAAAGATGCATGAAGGAAATGGTTAAAGGACTCAATACAAGAGGGGTCTCTAAGCTTGATGTTTTCTTTCCATTTGTTTTTGCTTCACTTCTTTTCTCTTGGTTCCATTAGTATGATCTGAAATGTATCTTAAATATATAAGAATGACTTCAAAAATAATGGTGTGGCCTTGCATGCATGAGAAAAGAGATTAGCAGATTTGGTTCTTACTTAACACTTAAAAAAAAAAAAAAATACTGTCCAGAATCTGCCTTGACTTCCAAATGCGTAGTAAATTTTTTTAAAAAAAAAATGTTATTTCTAGAATCTGAAGCTATTGGAACTATTTTAGGATGACCTTTAAGTGTGAGACGTTTTATAAAATTGCTTGACAACATTTGGTAGCCAAAAACATGTTTTACTTCTCCACTGTTGGCAAGGTAGCAGCTAGGCCAACTTCAAAAAGCCATGATTTCTTCCTTAGAAGGAATTTTTGAGTGATTCAAATTGGAAAAGTTAGGCCTTTAAGTTATATTTCCAATGCCACTGGTCTCAACTATTTTTGTTAAGTATCGAATGAGATATGCCCGTTTTGCCAAAACGCGACGAATCTGGACTTACCCTCGTTTTTTTTTTTTTGGATAAATAAGAAGTAAATATTATTAAAAAAAGTATCAAGACGATGCAAAGAACCCAATAACTACAATCAATGAAGAAATAAAGACTCAATAAAATCCAAAATAGCAAATAAATCTGGGTCCGTAGTCCCTGAGACCCATCTGTGCCAGACAACCAACAACTTGTTTTTCAAGCGAGGACCGAAGCCACTACCCCCTGGACGTCCGACGATTTTGTTCCAACCACACCAGCCACATTAGGCATAAAGGAGCCAGCAACCAAGCCCTCCAATGCCTCACCACACCAGCCACATTAGGCATAAAGGAGCCAGCAACCAAGCCCTCCAATGCCTCTTCCCTACCTTACCCCCTCTCCAACTAACCAACACATCCGTCACCGTCCCTTGCTGCACCCAAACCAAATTGAATACACCAAAAATCAACTCTCATAATTGATGCATCATTGGACAATGAAGAAGATGCGACACATATTCCATGACAACACAAACAACACCAATTAACCAAGATATGCTGACGGCGAATTAAATTATCCAAAGTCAAAATTCGACCATGCGCAGCCAACCAAACAAAAGCACCACTTTAAATGGCACCCTAGAAACTCAAACCCATTGCCAAGGGAAAGAAACATCCCTGGTCCCCACCTACACCTGATAAAAAGATGACACAGAGAATACCCCTTTGGCCCTGTTACACCTCCACCTTAACTTGTTCTCACCCACCGCAACACCCCTCGAACTATACAACTCCGCCAAAAAGTCCACCAGCTGATCAACCTCTCAATCAAACACTGCCTTACAAAGCTTTACATCCCACACCATCCTACCATCCATTATAGACAAGTAGGGAGCAACCTCCGCATACTGATAATCCGGAATTTGGAACAACCAATGGTAACTGACATCGAAACTTCGCTCGCCACACCACCAATCTGTCCAAAACCTCACCCAGGACCACAACCCACACTAAAACTAACCCACTTCCAAAACTTTCCCTCCCAAGCCATAAACCCCTCCCATGAGTACTCCTCATCTCCCCAGAACACCAACCTCCCCACCCAATGCCATATTTAGCCACCACCAACCTCTGCCACAAGCGATCCACTTCCCTCATAGATCTCCACAACCACTTCCCCAACAAAGCCCTATTAAAAATCACTTAACTTCGAATCCCCAACCCTCCCTGGACCTAGACACCATCTTCCAATCCACTAAATGATATTTAAAATCCTTACCCACCCCACCCTAAAGAAAATCCCGTTGCAATTTCTCCAACCAATGCGCCACTAAAACAAGGATAACATGCATCGACATAAAATAAGTCAGAATACTTCCTAACAAACTCTTGATCAATGTCAACCTCCCACCTTTGGACAAATATTAGCACTTCCACCCCGCTAACCGCCACTGAACCCTTTCCACCACCCCATCCCACACTAAAACTGCCTTAAAAGTCGACCCCAAAGGCAATCCCAGGTAGGACACTGGCAATGCTGCCACTTTAGAACCTAGGATAGCTGCCAACCCATCAACATCCTCCATCTCCCCCACGGTTTTAAATTATTTCCTCACTCTCTAGTGGTCAAATTCCTTCGAGCCCTTCTTAGAAAATGTTCCTAGTTTAATTATCTACAATTCCACCAAAAAATAGAATTTTCCAGCATCGTTTACTATTTATTTTCCATTTTTCTTTGTGCTAGCAGATTGCTGGAAATCTCCAGAATCTGGGTTAATGTTATTAAAGGCTTGTTTCCTCCATTATAATGTTTGGGCTGGCTTACTATATTTGCATGCACTTAAATGTAGATGATTGATGGATAGTACTTTGTTATTTGCTCATAGTTATTTTATATGAAGTAGATATGAAATGGGGATTGAAACCTGGTGGTCCGGGGTGTCGTTTATGAAATTGTTCCTTCAGTGGTAGGGTGAGCCTTGTGGATTGCATATGAGATGTATTCTTGTGGCGGGCCGGAATTGACAAAGAGTTTCGAAACCTTGTGGTACAGAATAGTACGACTTGGTTAATGATGCAAAAATTATGAACTAAATGAATATATTATTTATGTAGCTCTTCAATTAATTCAAAATTCTATTTAATGCACTGGTAATGATGAATGAAAAGGCAAGTAACCCTTGTGGATGAAGATATGGTCTTGGAAGAAGTTGGTGGAATAGATGCTGAGACCTATGCTACCATAGATATAGTAGATGAAGATGATGATAGTATTAATGAGGATGACATAGAGTGATCTAGCATTTGTTTACTATTTTTGTTTACGAAACTTAAGTTATTTTGTTTATGGAACAGTTGGAATTCAAGTTATTTTGACTTAGAGTGATCTATCACTCAAGTTATTGGCAATAGTATTAATGAGGAAGACTTGGACTGCTCTTACAATGCTTGAATTTATTATTTTGTTTTTATGTCTAAAATGGTTTTTATGAATTTTATATGTTATCCTTTTTAAAAAAATTATATTTTTATGCTATTTTCAATTAATTTTATATTTTATAAAATTAAGAAGTTCAATCTTCAAAAGGCTTACGCTCAACACCTCGAAGGCTTACGCCTCGCCTTGCGCTTTCGCCTTTGAAAACTTTGGCATTATAGATGAAATCGGGGAGGAATTCTTCAAGTTATTACTGTTAATGCCTCAAATTATGTGAATGCTGGGTCAAGGCTTATGGAGAAAGGGAAGAGGTTGTACTGGACACCGTGTGCCGCATTGCATTGATTTAATGCTGGAGGACATTGCAAAATTGAAGGTCTGTGAGTAGACTCTCTCACTAGCTAGGTAAGTAGTGAAATTAATATATGGGCATTCTTGGGTTCTTTCACTGATGAGAGCAACTAATTACCCTTGACGAGGCGAGGCGTAAGCCTTGAGGTGTTGAGGTGTAAGCTTTTTGAGTGTTGATTTTTTTATTTTATATTATTTTATAAAATGTAAAATTAATTAAATACAATATGAAAAATATAAAAAAAGGAATAGCATACAAAATTTATAAAAATCATTCTGAGCATAAAAACAAAATGAATTAATTAATTCAAGCATTGCAAGATCATTCTAATAAGTCTTCGTCATTAATATTATCATCAAAATAACTTAAATTGAAGATATTGCATAAACAAATAACATAAGTTCCATACAATAAACAAATGTTAGATCACTCTTAAGTTATCCAAAATTCATAAAAAACATTATGGACATAAAAACATAATGAATTAATATATTCAAGCATTGCCAGACATACTAAGTCTTCGTCATTAATATTGTCATCAAAATAACTTGAGTTAAAATAACTTAAATTCAAGATATTGCGTAAACAAAATAACATAAATTCCATAAACAAAAACAGACAAATAATAGATCACTCTTAAGGCATCCCCATTAATACTATCATCATCTTCAGCCACCTATCTATGATGGGATAGGTTGCATCATCTATTCCAACAACTTCCTTCAAGTCCATATCTTCATCCACAAGGGTAATTACTCTCATTGCCTTGCCTTTTCCTTCATCATTACCTATACATTAAATTGGATTTTGAATTATTTAAAGAGCCACATAAATAATAAATTCATGTAGTCCATAATTTTTTTAATTCTTGAGTCTTCACCAATTTTCTTGCCTTTGCCACTGATTGAGTCTCCACACTCCTTTCATTGGTAGCGATAGGCACAATCCTAATTGTGTCAACATCAAACAACTCTTCATCATCAAGCCAAGAAGCATCAAGTGTGAGGACAAGATCTTTTTCGGCAATCCACTCATCATTAGAATCAATTTCATCATTGAGTATTGGATCAATGTTTTTTCTTCTCTTGATGCTTCTTTCTCTTAGTTGAGTGTTGCACTTCACATAGACAAACATTCAAACGTTTGTGTTCAAGCCTATTCTTTTTTGTATGAATCTAATACAAACAAGTTAGAATTATGGAATTTTTTTAACACAATAAAAAAAGCATTTAGGGAAAAAGCATAATTTACCTACTCAAAGGTGGTCTAGTTCCTTGAAGCACTACAAGTAAGACTAAGAACTTGAATGTCAAACTTTGTCTCGGTGTTCTGCTCCCAAAACGAATCCACCAATTAGCTACATAAATTTGGAAAATGCGAGGTAGTCTTGTATTTCAATTTTAAAATATGCAATTAGGAAATTATTTTAATATTAATTCCTTACTTGGAGAGCGTATCGCTTTAGAGTTCATTGCAACACGACTTTTGAATTCCCCTTTTGCTTGGTCATATTAGTCCAATTGGATATTAGCCTTGTGATGATCCATTGGTTTTCTGCAATAAATCAAGAACATAA